CGCGAGGGGGGGGGGGGGGGAGATATGGGTCTTCGGGTTCAACCCCGGATTTCGTTCTTCTTCCTCTTCATCTTCGAATACTTTGTTTCGTTCTTTTGTGTCTAAATCGAAAGACAGCATATGAAACTGCAATGGATTCTGTCTCCAGAGCCACGTGGGAAGAAGCAGCAAAGGAAATTCCAAATCGGGTGAGGGATAGGGGGTGGAGTAGGGTTTTGTAAACGCATCCTTTGGTATTAAGTTTATGCATTAAATCCGCATCCTTAAAATCCACAAGTACATGCATGTCATTGCTCCTTTTTAGCCATTGGTTAGACCAATGTCTCTTCGAGGACCAAAAAAACACTAATCTTTTAACTACAAAAAACACGAAGCCCTAAAACACAGATCTCTCCTTGGGGTTTGCCCTTAGAATTGCAGATTAAGTCGGTAATCCAATCCAATCAATTACACGTGCGGCACGTGGGAGAGCGTGCCTGCTCCCTCCCTCCCTCCAATGTCCAATGCTTCGTTCCTGTTAATCTCTCCCCATCCCCCACAGTTTTTTTTAAAAAAAAATTAATTGATTATAATTTGGAGTAATCGAAATTAAAACATTATTCGATGTTTACATATGTAGATGGTTTCTATTTCTATCAAGTTGTTTAATGAAACGGTTGAAACCTCCTTTTGTGCTTTCGTTATTATATATGTTGAAAGAAACATGTATGATCTGGTCAAAGACTCAAAGTACATAATCAAATTATTTTTGCAAGATCATTATAAAGAAAAAGGCTACCAATATATTCCCATAATCTCATATTAATAGTACTTTATTAGATGTGGCGCCACCTTTACAAAACGGATATTGTTCTTTTGGGCTTTGATCTAATATATAATCCTCGACCGAGGAGTTCCCCGATTATTTAAATTTCTAAGGTTATATATATATTATATACGGCTGTGATCGGTTTATCTTATGCGTATTTTATAACTAAGAATTATTTATGCCATAATAAACAGTATCGTTTTTTAATTTAATTTTCGCGTAGACGACTTTCTACACGTTCCACCCCAAACGAATTAAAAGGTTCGTGATAGTAAGCCGGAGAAAAGTACATAAGAATATATTATTATTATTATTATTATTATTATTATTATTATTATTATTATTATTATTATTATCTATTTAGTTTGTTTTATAAATGTTTAAGGGGGACATTATTAAAAATACCTTCTAAATGCTATTTAGATTTCAATGCCTACTCTTTCTTTAAAAAATTATTTTACCTAGCTTGATAAATACCCTTATAAATTCCCCAATTTACCTTTTAATATTTTATTAATTATTTTCTATCTCCTCACTATTTTCTCACTTCTAAACCCACCCCAAGGAATTATTATTATTCACTGTAACATCATTAAAATTTAGTCACATTAAAATAAGTAACGGACCAGCTGTACTTTTCTAATTAAATAAAACAGTCCTAGAATTTAAAATTTTTATATCAAATCATAATCGTGTCATTATGGAAATTATTTTGTAAAGAAAATGATTGAATACAACGAAAAAGGTCAAACTCATTTTAGTTTAATGATGTCAGACCGATCTTTTAAGTTGAAAATTTTCCAACAGAAAAATACGAAATAAAAAGTCAGAACCTGAAAACAAGAATTCTATCCTCTTTTCATCTTCAACATCTATTCATTACGCATCCAAACCCTTGTCCATTTGATTTGTTGACACTATCATTTGGGATGACGTGTCAAACATTGATTCGTTAAGAACTTGATCATATAGAGTGTAGATACTAGACAACATTCCTAAACTAGGTTTTTTTTTTGTTAACCATTCCTAAAGCTAGCTTTCATTCTGTAAAAAATAGCTCTACAAACTTTCACAATCCATAGTGCCCCATCTCTTTCTCTTCATTGGCATCATTTCAAACATAAATATATACATATATTATATGTCAATATGTGGTTCATGCATGTATGTGTAACGCTATTGTTATAATAATTGTATTTTACTGGTCTATGATTATTTTCATTTGTCACAAGATTTCGATTTCCTTAGGAAGAGTCTATCAGTACATATAGTGTTTAAAATCAAATCGAAAGTTAAGAGAACCCATGTCTTGTTAACGGGCTACTCATTTGTAAAGACCACAGAGCAACTACAGTTTATCATCTTTTTTTTAAAAAAAAAAACCAATATTACACATTGGAAGGATGTGTAGTCGCTCAAGGAAAAGTGTAGACAATCCACCGGTGTTGCTACAATATGGCATTTAAGACCAACAAGAAAAACGTGTCTGTGCTTGTTTATATAGTAACCGTCAGATGCGGAGGTGAGTGCAGCCAAGGATAGTGCCGCGACAACGAGTCATAGGAGCCACCCTCCGCCAGGTAGGGCGATCGGTGGCAACCCCCAAGACATCGACGTCAGAGAGCGGGTTGATGTCCCCATTGAAACGGTCAGGGCCTATGACCCCTCCTATCACATAAACCTCTTCCATCAATCCCATCATCCCAAACCCGATCCTCCTCCTGAACTCTGACGCCGACACCACCACTCTCCTCCTCTCTCTCTCTTCCTGTCTCATTATCACCCCATGGCTCATCACGTACATCTCATCCTTCACCACCGCCATCGGCCCCTGCGCCCATCCGTACTCCTCTACCGTCCACCTCATTCTCACGCTGTCCAGCACCTGCACTGTTGACAACCCCTTGTGCTGAACGTGCACTTTCCCTCCTATCACCAGCCCTGAACATGCCGAGTTATGGCTCCGGTGCAGGTCTGAGATCGATGTCCACACGTCTTTCTCCGGATCGTACATCTCCGCTTGCGAAATCGATTTCCGGCAGGTTGTGAAGCCCCCCGCAACAATAATCTTCCCGTTCAGAACACAACACGCAAACATTGCACGGGGAACAAGCATGGATGCCCGTGGAGTCCAACGTCTTTGTATGAAGTCGTAGGACCAGACTTCATCCGTTGCAAATGTCCCATCTTGATCACCGGTTAGCGGATCGACAGCATCGCTTCCTCCACCCAGCACAAACAGCCTACCGCCGGTGGATACAGCACCAAAATGGGAGAGATGGCGGATTTTGGACGGGAGGACAGGGAGGGTGAGCCAACGGTCGTTGAGAGGATCATACACCTGCCAGAGATTCTCGGGATCGAAAGCGCACACACACAAGAGATCCTCAGATGACCCGACTTCTTGTCGGGCTTTAAAGAGTTCAGCACTACGCACAACCGCCCGCCAAGAACGAGAAACAAGTTCTAGCGTTGGATGGAGGGTTAAGGGCACATGCGCAAGGCATCTTAGGGCGACGGCGTCTGGAAGTCCTTCAATCAGCCCAGACATTACTACAGCTGATGATTCATCTGCTGATGGGATTACCATTGAGCTGCTAGGCTGACACCAGAAGATACGTATTCTGAAACACAAGATTTTCATTGACAATCAGGTCATATGCGGGGATGTCAGTGTATGCCGAAAAATGCTAAAGCTAATCCCTATGTAAATTTTGTATACATGCAACCTATAGAAACAGAATGCAAGTTAAATGAATCAAGAGATAACAAATAAAGATATCAGTAACTATGCCCAAGCATGTGTAATTCAGATCAATGATAATTCAAAGTCTGGAAGGTCTCATGACAAAAAAACATGTAAATAGCTTACATATTCTTCAATATCTATCGAAATTTTTCGGATGAATCCATCTGCAATAAAACAATAGACAATTCACATAATTAGCCATCAAAACAGATTTGAATTCAGAAAGAGAAATGAATCATGTTCTTCAAATTCTGCTATACACGTTAAGAATCAGATCATGGAATCAGATTCACACCAAGTGCACTGAGAGTACCAAAAATTTGATTCCATAATTCTAATTTCTAAAGCTACCCTTCTTTGACATTGATTCTACCAATGTCTCGACAGATAACAGGAAAACAAGCAATTCCTAAATCCATCAATACAGAACGAGAAGGAGAATGATCATGACAATGTGGAATCCTAATCTGTCGAAACTTCAGATGCCAACCATGTGATTGTCAACGAAGAAAGATACGAAGGAGAAGGCGAAGCCGATAAAGATCGATGTAAAATGAGTAATAATCAAGAATGTAGCTGTGAGAACAAAGCTAACAGGAAAAAGGTGAAATTCACGACAGAGAGTGACGGAGAAGAAGAAGAGAAATACCTGTGGAGAAGGCGGAGCAGGCAGTCGAGACTCACACAGAAGGCGGAGCAGGCGGTCGCGTCGCGAGATTCTCGACAAAACAGAATAGAGAAGGAATAGGATGCAGGCGAAGGACGCAGGCGAGAGGGGCTCATGAGAAAAAGAGGAGAGGATGCAGGCGAGCGAGAGAAGCTCCGATCGAGAGCGAGAAGAGGAAGAAAGCCGCCGTCGAGAATCGAGATCCGTCTGAACAAGAAAATGAAGTTAGAGTAAAGACTCTGGATGGAAAAGAGGTTTCAACTTGAAACCCTAAAAAAAGTTAAAACCGCGAGCTGGAGTGGCTGTGCCTCGTTGGAGTCGGTTTTTTGGGGGTTGAGATTTCTCTAACCCAACTCATAAAAAAAAAAAGGTTGATCTGCGAGTTGATTTGCGGATCAGACTCGTTTTTACCCCCTCGTGAAAAAGACATCAAACATAGTAATAGTAATTTAGAGAAATTATATATGTCCTATCACAAACTGAATCAATTTATCATCAGATAAGAGTGGAAGAGATGTCCAAACATCGGAATAAACTAAATCAAAACAATTTTGATAAATAATATTAGAAAAGAGAAAAACATCATGATCTAAATTCGACTTCAAAACTAATAACTTGAGTATTTTATCATGAAGATATCATAGACAAACATGCCAAATCGATGTAAAAACTTGCTCAGAACCAAGAGAATTATCATCAATGATATAAAGATTGTTTTTTCCATTACTCGTTCCAAGCAACTCACAATCTTAATATCTTGAAAAACAATATCATTAGAATCAAATGTAGGAATAGAAAGTAAATTTGTTTTTTCTATTAAAAAAAAGAAAGTAAATTCGTTTTGAAATCAGGGACATGAAAGACGGGCACGGTCCTTTGTTAAACATCGACAAATCTCCTTATCCGACAACAGGAACGTGTTGGCCATCGGCCACAGACACACGACCCAAAGATGCTTCAAGTTGTGTAAAAGATTCGAGTCGCTAATCATATGGTTTGTCAAACAAGGAAGAGTTGTTTGAAACCAAAAACTTCCTCGGGAGTGAAGTTCATGGTGGTGGCCAAATTTATATGAACAAATTTTATAAACATATAATAAATACAATATTTAAGAATATCATTTTTATTATTATTTTATAAATAAATTTTTTGAAGAAATTGGAAAAAAAAAACGGAGGATCTCAGAACAAATAATTGATATCAAACATTTTTCACATTTTTATTTCTTTAATCTAACATATAATATGTAATGATGATTGTATTATAATTTAATTTTATCGTTATATTATTTCTATATTGAGTAAATAATTTATATAATTTTTTATATATAAAAAGAGGTACTGTTTCGACGATTGCAATTAACAGATATGGTAAAGCGGCCACAGTATCTCATTTCGGACGGTATAATAATATATAATAGGAAAATTTAATTTGATATTTGGAGGCAAGAGTGGATGGAGTATACGGACATATAAAAAAGAGTTATGGGGCAAAGGAGATTAATGGATGATGGGAGGAGTAAGTTTATGTTTAATCCTGGAGAGGGTCAATCAATCATCAGTTTCTGACACGAGAGAGAGTGGGACAAGTATGACATCATCAGTTTCTTGTACGCCCATGAATTGAATGCACATCTTATCACTGTCCGGTCCACATCCACAGTGAGTGGTACTAACACGATACGTAATTTCGCAGCGCAAATGCAGGGACTGGGCAAAGCAGCAAGAGAAGCTAACGCAGTGGGCTTTTGGGTTTATTATAAAAAAGCAGTTGGGCTTTTGGGTCAGTTTGCATTCACGCTGGGAAAAAGATGTCAAACCATTCGCACAAACAACCAGTCTGACTTGGTTGGACATGACCTTACTTGGGCCTAACGGTGGGAAGGGGTCACAGTTCTGCGGCCGAGCAGTCTCTTGTAAATGCCTCTGATAGTGTTAGGCGTTGTCCTGCAGCACCCTCCGACCAGACACACCCCTGCCTCGCACCATTTCTCTACATACGACACAAAATCTTCATCCCCGACTCCCGTGTTTTCCTGCCACATCGAGTCGTTCAGATCATATGCGCTTTCATTTCATCATCAACTCATCCATTACTCACAACCGAGATCACTACTTACAACCCATTCCTTTCGGTCTGCATCATAGCTCTCCCCACTGTTTGGGTACACCAGTATAGGTTTGTTGGTCACCTGAAATTTGTGGGGGAAAAAAAGCTTCAGGCTCTCAAAAATAAGTGCCCAACCAGACAAACAAAATCATCCACTGTGGGAACACGATATAATACTACAACATTGGAAACCAGAGAAAGAAGGTACCTTCTTGATCTCCAGTACTAGACCGTGAATGAATCTAGGAGGGGTACAGTTGATTCCAACCGCAACCACTTTGTCACATGATTCAGCAATAGCAACACAGTCCTGGATGGCATCGCCGCTAACCACGTTCACACCGTCCTTTGAGTTAAATGCAAACCATGCTGGAATCTTTATGTCTTCTTCGTTTAACAGCTCAGCATATGCCTTGAGAGATACAAAGAAATAACCTGAGCTTAGTACCTGTCGCAAGCTACAGCATCTGATTTCGAGTTACATCTATGAGCTCAAGCCTCAGATACCATTTTTGTTCAAATTGAGAAGCAAGAACGGAAACAACAAAGTATAGTATGGCACCACCATGACATCTAAGACCCTTTGATTGAATGAAGCCATTCACGTAAAATATTATATCAGTACCTGAGCCTCTAGCTTGTTTGGAATGGTCTCAAATGCTATTAAATCTGCACCAGATTCTGCCAGAACCTGGACTCGTCTCCGGTGAAAATCCTTCAGACTTTCTAGCGTGATTGAATCCCCATAGATTCCACTGGGAGATTAACAGCAACAGAAGAATTAATAGAAAGTCAGGAAGCTACAACCAGAGCTTACAAGATCCATCAGAAGGCAAAATCAAATCTGACTGCGGAAGTGATAGAGGCTTTGAAGCTGCTTCCACTGCATTCACGAATTAAAGCCGAAAAAGAAATAGTCTACCAACCTGTACTCTGATCCATCGGCCAAGTATGCACCGTAGCTGCCTATGGATGCTGCAACCAATACTGGGCGCTTCTTAAGAATCTTACCATCAACACTTTCACCGGACGAGCTAGCCTCACATTTTTTGTAATATGCTTCCCGTGCACTACAAGCCATTTCCACACTTTTTCTCAGCAAGGCTTCACTTTCTTCTCTTGAAAACCCCTTTGCCTCAAACCCCTGAATTGTGGCCTGCTCCCATTTCGGGTTAACCAATGTTTAGCTCCCAAAAATGGATAAACTGAGGAAGAGAGAGAGAGAGAGATTACACAACCTGATAAGACGCACTGGCTATAATATCTGCACCAGCTTCAAGGTAATCTAGATGGACCTGCAACATCGGAAAAGACAAGTTTGTAGAATGTTTCATTACAAAGCAACCAGATAAGAAACCCTCTTGTATTAGAAGAACAATCACTCCCTCACATGACCAGCAAGTCGTCCACCAACTTAAAAAAAAAAAAATCCCAGAATCTCCGTAAAAAAGCCACTAATCAGAGGGAATAAAGAGATCCTGTACACAAAATAATACAATTTTTTATTTGGTCATTTGCAAACTGTGATGCAGAAATAAACGCTAAGCCACGGCCTCCTCATCTAAAGCCAAAGTGGGAAAAGACCAACCACGTATGGTCCAGAAGTTCATGTCTTTATATAACCCTGTTGCAGCTGTGTCACTACTCTATCATCTATATCTGATTAATGCCAAAAGATGTCCAGTTTCTGTGGGTTTTTAGCGTGATAGTCATTTCATGAATCATTAACTAAATATCATCTTCCAGGGTTTTTTTTTTAACGTGATAGAACGCTTAGGATAGATATTAAGTTCAGCTTTAACTAAGGAGCTTGAATCTAGAGATGAGCTTCAACCATAGATCCGTAGAGGACAAAATGCTGGATTCAGATTCAACTTAACACCCAAACAATAGAAATTAAAAAAGGAGAGAGAGAAAGAGAGAGAGTTACGGAGAGGATGAGGTGAGGAGAAGTGAGGAGGCATTTGGCGCTCCAAAGAGGATCGTTGAGATCGGCACCGTGTCGCTCGAACTCCGTCGCCAGTCCGCCGTCAATAACAGCCACGCCGCCTAAATCAAGCAGGAAACGTGTCATTGATGGCGCCGCCGCCGCCGCCTCGGAGCTTCCGCTTCCCATCCGAGTCGACTCAGCACAACTTCTCCCTCTGAAACAGATGTTAAGTGAATCCATCGGCCTGAAACCGCAAAATGGGAGAAGAAAACAAGGTGCGGCGTTGCCAAACTTAACCAAGTGTCGGCTTTTACTACTCGTCTAAGCCCCTCATTTTAACCAATATAACAAATACGCCCCACTTGTTTTCAAAGTTGCAACCTGGCTCCTCACCTACTTCCTGAAATTTGGTGGAAAACAGAATTTCGATTATACATCTCGTCTCCGTAAATGGGTTTTATTGTGCGTATTTTTTTGGTAAAACGTAAATTATATACAAATCGACATATTAATAGGTGAATAAAATAAAATAAAAAATAGGTGAATAAAATTTATTATCACTATACACGAAGAACATACTTGTATGAACACGGAGGAGAATATTTTCTCATGAAAAAAAAAATACTGGCAACAAGAAAACCTCCACGACAATCTCTGGGTCTGGAGCAAAATCAAAATGTAAGTATATCAAAGCATAGAGGAATCATGGGCCACGAGGTGTGTAGAAGCAGAGGCATCCATGAAAGTTGTAGGGAAGAATCATGCCGCCACCTTTGGTGTTTGTCCATCGCCTCCAGAAACCTTACAATGCACCTCTTCCATCTCCGGCCGCTTTTTTGGATTATTTGAGACAGCCAGTTTAACGTAATATTTGAAGCCATTTACAGATAATTTTGAAGATGTCCAAACATCAAAGAAAATGATGTAAAAAATGTTGGGTAGATGAAAATGGTGGACGTAGAAAATAGAAGTTTATGGCTTTTGGTGGTAGAACAAGAGTTGCATACCATAGTATCAATTGAAAGAGGTAGTAATGATAATGATAGTGACGACAATATATGTCGTAATCTTGGTAGAGTTGGATGGTATACACGTCAGTGTCACTCGAATAAAGTGGACCTGGACGATGATTAGGTTGTAAAGCTTGATGGGCTGAAAGATACAGACCATTTTCGTATAAACCATCTCTGATTTTTTTTTTTTGGTTAATATTGGTGTCGATTGTTTAGATCTTTCATCGAAAAGTGGTCCATAAAGAATTCACTAGACACTTTATTAGGGTCGCATAACTGATAAATCGACATGAGATTCTTCTTCATCTCTATAACACAAAGAACATTACGAAACTATAAATCACGAGTTGGTGAAAAAAAGAAAAAAATCGTGTTTAATGGATAGAGATGAACCATCGCCAATCACCACTGATAGGGATATCAAAAAAGTGCGAGGCCTGTTAGCCGACCCAAAAATTGACGGGATTATCGTCCATCGGGTGGGGTCGGCCCGCCATTGATAATACGGACTAAAATGCAGACCCGTCAATTTTAGTTATATAATATAAATATATATACATACGTACATACATAAATATATAAACATATCATTCACTAAATCAAATATATAATAGAGAATTATAAAAAAAATGAAAAACTTACTTAATATTAAATAATTTAAGATATAATATTTTAATAACATAAATATATATAAAAAATTATAATATCATTAGAATTGAATATTTATTACGATTAAAAATAATATAACAATTTAATATTTAAATAAACTTTATTATTATATAAAAATTTGAAATTTTGAGTTTTAATTTCTCCTAAATCAAAAAATATATTAATAAATATTTTTTATCAATATATATGTTAATGATTTTTTTTTATATATTTTTACAGTTTATTTTATGTTTATTAATTTTTTTTGAAAGTTTAAAGTTTAAACCCAAAACCTGGCCCGAATCTGAAAAAACTCTATAGGGTTGGGCTTCGAACCTAAGGTTTTAAGCCCATACATGTTTTGAGCTGGGCCGAGTCGGGCCACAATTCTCTAGAAGTGACATATCGGATACTCGCCAGGAGGGAGTTAGTGCATTGATGCATCAAATCTGCTATATTCGAAACTAGGGCGGAGTGTGTTTTGGAGACCAGGGAAGACTTGTGTCGGGCTCGGGCCGGGGGCTGGCATTTTGACACCCCTACTTCCACTGATTCTTCTCCGTATATATAAACAGGATCAGATATGATATGATGAGATGTGCCATTATCAAGGAGGCAAGAACCAACATCATTGAGAGAAAACTTTGTACCATATGAGTACGGCTGTGAGGATGATCTGCTAGAGTTGGATAATCCCTTTGGTTTAAAAGTAATATTTGTTGAAAGCAAAATAAATAAAGGATTCAAGAGTCACACATTCAAGAGCTCTAAGATGGCCGAGAAATCCTTGGAAGACCAAAATAAGAAGAAGATAAACGTGCATGAGATGCAAGGCTTGCAAAGTCTAGAAAAGAAAATGTTAGTGACTTGGCAAGCATGTGAGGCAAAGAAGGAAATCTTGTTGACTTGGAAACAAAGAGGAAAGCGCATGAAATTATTGTCCAAGGGTCTCCTAGCCGTTTGAAGATTGGACCCAAATCTGATCCTACATCAAGCAAACTTTCCTCTTTTCCTTTTTTACAGATTTTATCATCATTTAGAATCTCTTCCGCATTTACTCTTGATTCTCTTTCCATTCAACTTGTTATATGGACGTTAGAAACTCCCCTATATATTTTATCATGTTTTTATGTAATATATCAGATTAATATAGAATAAAGTGATAAGGGACTTAGTCCCAAGTTCTTCTTACATATGTCGAATATAAGGCATGGACAAGCCACCTTATCTGATTCGACTGCTTTCTCGTTCACTGAGTTCGATTTCATCTTTATTCTCTCCTATTCTCCATTAGCACTCTCCTCCACTCTCTTTGTTACGTCTTATTCTAAAAACCTAAAACTCATAAAAACCTTCAATATTAGCATTCCACCGTCATGAAACTGGTTTTTGGAAGGAGAAAAATGGTTATTGGGATGGGCTTGGGTTATAGGTCAAATCAAATGGGCTTGGAGTTGGTGACTCACGTGGGATTTTTTCCGTCGCATTCCATCGCAAATGTTTTAAAAAATTAAAAAAATATATATAAAAATTATATACTATATATACACATACATATATACATTTTCACATACACATACATTACACACATACAAATATACATACACATACATACATATATATACATATATTTTCATATACACAAACACACATACACATACATACATACATACATACATACATATATATACACATATTTTCATATACACAAACACACATACACATTCACACATATACACATATACACATATATATACATACATAAATACTCATACATACATTTCACAAACACATGCACATATACATTTCACAAACACAGACACATACATATAAACACACACATATACACATATTCATATACACATACAATCACATATACATACACATACATATTCACATTCCACTACAAAACAAAATGTGAAATTCCAACGGATTAATCCGTTGGAATATTTCCAACGGATTTCCAACGGCATACCGTTGGAATAATTCCAACGTATTTCTAACGGCTTTCCAACGGACGTCTAACGGATTCGTCCGTTAGAAATCCGTTGGAAATTTCCAACGGCATATCAACGGATATTTGAGTTGGAAAATTTCCACGTATATTCCAACGGATTTCCGTTGGAAATAACGTTCGACGAATTTCAAGCAATCCGTTGAAATTATCCGAACGTTATGAAACGCGGCAATAATTCCAACGGATATCCGTTGGAAATAATCGAACGTTATAACGTTCGTAATATTCCAACGGATATTCGTTGGAAAGTGTAACGGTAACGAACTTTTCAACGGATTTCCAACGGATATCCGTTGGAAAGTTTCTCTATTTAAAGCACCCGGCCATAGTTCGCCCAAACCACTCTCTAAATCACTCTTATACTATTCTTTTACCAAAAATTCTCCTAAAAATGACATCTTCAACAAATCCGAATATTCGTTCGTCCCGACAGTGGATATACGAAAGAGTTGATTCGATTACAAAAGAGGTAACGCAAGAATTCATTATTGGTTTGGAACAGTTTATGAATTTTGCTTCTATGCAGCTATTGTGTCAAGAACGTGGAAAAATGCTATGTCCATGTACAAGTTGTCGCAATTTTAAATATCGCAGTCCAGAAGATGTTTGTAAACATCTATTTCGAAGGGGATTTGTCGAAGATTATTATATTTGGCGATTTCATGGAGAAGAAGTTCGGACAATCACAACGGGACAACATGTCTCGGCCGAGCAGAGGTATGATGTAGATGAAGATGTAAGAAATCCTTATGTTGAAATGGTGACAGATGCTTTTCCTGGGGCCATTGGCTGAGCAAAACTCATCACAAGATCAGGAGGAGCCAAACGTCGAAACAAAACGGTTTTTCGACATGTTGGATATGGCAAATCATCCTATCTATGAAGGATGTAAAGAAGGTCAGTCACGTTTATCTCTTGCATCAAGATTGATGAGTATGAAAACGGATTACAATGTCACCGAAAATTGCATGGATTCATTTTGTCAAACGTTGCGTGAATATTTACCTGAAAATAACGAAGCTCCAGAATCGTATTATGATACGAAGGCTATGTTGAAGAATTTGGGAATGCCTTATGAAAAGATTGATGTTTGCAAAAATGGTTGCATGCTGTACTGGGGTGAAGAAAAAGAATTGGTTATGTGTAAATTCTGTGGGACTAACAGATATCGTCCGAGTAAGAATGTACGGAGACAAACTCCGTATAAAAAGATGTTCTATATGCCGGTATCGTACAGATTGAAGCGTTTGTATGAATCACAACAAACGGCTTCGCATATGAGATGGCATGCCTCGCATTCTACCGTTGATGGAGAAATGCAACATCCATCGGATGCTTTGGCGTGGAAAAACTTCAACATGGTATTTCCTCAATTCGTTGCTGAGCCTAGGAATGTGTATCTTTGTTTGTGCACTGATGGTTTTAGTCCGTACGGACAGTCTGGCATGCAGTATTCATTATGGCCCGTTATACTTTCTCCGTACAACTTACCACCTGAGATGTGCATGAAAAGAGAATTTATGTTTTTGACATTGTTGATTCCTGGGCCAGAACATCCGAAGAAGAGTTTTGATGTGTATTTACAGCCGCTCATTAAGGAGTTGAAGGATTTGTGGGACATTGGAGTCCCTGCTTACGACGTAAGTGTGAAACAAAATTTTACACTGAGAGTGGTTCTTCTTTGGACGATCAGTGATTTTCCGGCGTATGGCATGCTATCGGGATGGAGCACACATGGAAGACTTGCATGTCCGTTTTGCATGGAGGAAACAGAAGCGTTTCAGTTGAGACATGGGAGAAAGTCGTGCTGGTTTGACTGTCATCGCAGATTTCTTCCAAGGAATCATCCGTTCAGACAAAATCGTACGCTTTTTACCAAAGGTAAAATCGTTACTGAGGAAGGTCCTGTTATGCAAATCGGAGAGCAAATTTATTCTGAGCGAATAAATAGTGGATATTTGGATGATTTGGAAGCTTCTGTGCATTGTGGAGGAAATTTTGGGCATAAGAAGTGCAAAGTATTTGGTGATTGGCATAACTGGTATAAGCGTAGTATTTTTTGGGATTTGTCTTACTGGAGTTCGCTAACGCTTCGACACAATCTGGATGTTATGCATATAGAGAAAAATTTTTTTGATAACATCATCAACACCGTTCTGAATGTGCCAGGGAGAAGTAAAGATAACATCGATGTTATGCATATAGAGAAAAATTTTTTTGATAACATCATCAACACCGTTCTGAATGTGCCAGGGAGAAGTAAAGATAACATCAACTCGAGGAAGGACTTGAAAGATATATGCAAGAGAAAAGAGTTGGAGTTGACACGTGATGGTCACGCACCTGTGCCGATATTCAGACTCACAAAACCAGGTAAAACGGTCTTGTTTAAATGGTTAAAAGAAGAGGTTAAATTCCTTCGACACTCGCGAGGTCCCGCTAATCGATCCCGAACTTGACGGGACGTTATGGTAATTTATAAATTAAATTATTTCAATATTTATTTTAAATTATATTATTAATTAATATTAATAAATTGTTATTATAATTAGGTTCGGGGTTAACGATAAAGATTTGAGGAAAAAATTTACAGCAATAATAACGTCAAATTTTCCTCAACTCTACTACTGTTGGACGGTGGTACCGAACAACATCAAATGTTCTTGGTGGCATTCGTTCATCGTAAGTTATATTTTTAAAATTTTATTTAAATAAAATAAATAATTACTAACTCTAATTTTTTTTAAAGCAATCTTTTCGGTGGAAAAAAAAGCACACCGATAAAGTTTACAAATAGTTCAACCAACTGGGTATGCAGCGGTTGAAACAAATGATGAACAATGCCAAACGTCGTCATCAACTGCATGGACTGCCACCGGAGTGGGCAACAAATGACTTGTACCAGCAGCTTCTTACGCATTGGAACTCAGACCATTTCAAGAACAAGAGTTTCAAGGCGAAACAAAGTCGTCTGTCCCAAAAAATCGAGGGTGATGGGCCTCATCGTCATACCTCCGGTGTTAAATCATTCAAGAAGAGGCAAAAAGAGATGGTATTTATTTAAACTTTAATTTAATTTTTAATTAGTTTTTTAATTGTAGATTTTTTATTATGTTAATAATATATATATATAGGAGAAAGAAATGGGGAGAACGCCATCAATCGTAGAGTTGGTCGCTCGGACACACAAAAAGTCTGATGGGACATATGTCGATCCCCGTGCAGAACGAGTTGTAAGCACGGTAACTCAACGACTCACCCAACTCTCGCAAAATGTTGGCGATTCAGCGGATTCTTCATCCGATCTCTCTGCATCGGACCAAGATCGTTGATATGTGGAGGTAAAACTTAAAATAATTCATTTTTAAATATTATATTTTAATATTTTATTTCGGGCCGCATCTATGGATTAGGAGGATTGCAGCGAGATTTGTTCGATGATTTCGGTGCAGCAATTCCTCCTGGCATGCAGAGCGATCTCGAACAACAACGGCGGATCGAGACACTCGAGCAACGACTTGCGGCGACGAGGCAACAAGTGACTAACCTCGAACAAATCGTTGAGCTTATGCGGGGTGATCGACCACTCCACAATACGCCGCCAAGCTCGGGAGTAGAAACGACGGCACGTAATCTCGGGACTAGCGAAGACGAAGAAACCCGTAGTGCCAATTAATTATTATTGTTGAAAATATTTTATATTTTTGTAATATTCGAATAATTTTTTTTTAATGTTTTAATTTTATTTTGGTTTTATTATATATATATATATAAATAAAATAAATGTTTTATTTATTTTATTTTTAAATATTTATTTTATTTTTTTATTTATTTTTTTGTGTTTTCTAACGGTTATTCCAACGGATCCCCGTTGGAAAGAATTTTGGATTCCAACGGACGGCCGTTTAAATACCGTTGTAATATTTCGACGGCGTTTCCAACGGAATTTCCAACGGATATCCGTGGCAAATACCGTTATAAATCCGTTGGAATATTTCTAACGGATATTCTAACGGTCCCGTCGGAAAGTAGCCACGGATTACGGATTAAAACGCCCACCCCTAGCTGCGATTGTTGGGTGTTTTGGTAACTTGGTCAGACATCAGACATTCGTATCAACGACCAAAGACCCTATCTATTTGCCTAATCATCTCATGAAAGGAAGATTACATTAATTGCCATCTCTTTCTCTCTCCCTTTTTTTTGGGGGACAGAAAGAGATTTGGCTCACATTAAAGATTATTGGCAATACATGTGTAATCGGAGACGTTTTTCATTGTTTTGAACAAAATTAAAGAGAGAGAGGAGGTCTAGGCGTTGTTCCATGGCTCATGGTCCTTGAAGGTGTGAAGCATGAACCCGCATGCCTCCACCGCCTCTCCCACTGTCATGAATATCCATTCCTCCCCCATTTTGTCCACAAATTTTGATTTTGTTAGCTTCTTCATCACCTCTCCTTTTGGATTCGCCAATGCCAACTGCAACATTTTTTTTTCTTTCAAAGCTATAAATATATTTATATACGAATATAGAAGACGTTTCCTTGGATAAGGTACGATGTATGATACCTTGAGCCCTCTTCGGTCGATGATTTTATGAACCTCTTCCATCATGCTTATGCCGCTCGTGTCGATGTTACCAACAGCTGCACCAATTTTGTAAGCTAGAGGTCTAAATCTCTTGGCACAAAATGGGAACTGACAACGGTGTTTTAGATTCTGTGAACATAGAATGAATTATATATAGTTACCGGTCATATCGAGTATAATGTACTGCAAGCTGTTTCCTCCGGTGGTTTTCAGCCTATCCTCCTCCTCATCGATCCAACGTCCGATTCTGAAATCATCATCCTCTGAACCATCAGCGCGGGAAGAGCGTAAATGGGCTTGGAGTTGGTGACGAGCGTTTGGGTTTTGATGGATGGCTATAATAAAGGTTCCCTTTCGCGCAAGTAACTGGAGTTGGCGAAGTAGATGGGAGCATCGATCTGGAGAATGAGAAGCCCAGGGACACTTGTGGAGTAAGGGTACTGTTCCGTGTTCCTATAAATCATCGTGTTTGGAATGTTTCCCAACACGAACGTCCTCGGCCTCGACACGAATAGCAACAGCCTCAACAAAGAGATGGCCACCTTCATCGTTATCATCATATATCCATGAGCTTTAAACCGTATGTACGAGAAAGTTGTATGCGTATATATAGGGAGAGAGGTACGTACAGCGAGGACGAGACCGATCTCGACGCTGCCGAAGACAACGCCGAGGTAGGCGGCCATGCAGACGAGGAAGTCGAACTTGTCGACGTTCCAGAGATGGAAGGCGGCTTCGTAGTCGATGAGGCCGAGCATTGCGGAGATTATGATGGAGGAGAGGACTACCAGAGGAGTGTAGTGGAACAGCGGCGTCAAGAAGAGCAGAGTGAACATTACCGCTATTGCCATCACTATGTTCGACACCGCCGTCTTGCACCCCGCGTTGAAGTTCACAGCCGACCTCGAAAACGGCCCTTTTCATTTACGTTTAATCAGTTTTTGGATTTCAATTCAATTAATATGGACCGGTGGTGGTTTATATATATACCGGTGGTGAGGTAGCAAGAGGTGAGAGAGCCGATGATGTTCATCGTTCCAAAGGCTATCATCTCTTTGTTGCCGTCTATGTTGTAATTCTTGAACATCGCAAAGCTTCTCCCGACCGCTATTCCTTCCTGTTTTTTTTTTACAAAAAATGGGGATGCGTTTATAGATTTTATTGAAGCATAATTTTTTTTTAAAAAAAAGAAGGTGTTTTTTTAGGTAATCGGGTATCATAGATCAAGGTCCAGACTAACTCGGAATCGAAAGTCAGCCATATGATTTGGAATATACATTCTCTCCCCAAACGTGATATTCGAACTCGAGACGGGATATACACTTTGTACCCCATTTAACCGGTTGAATTACCAAGTTTGGATAGAAAAAGGTTATATATATATATATATAGAGAGAGAGAGTTACTGCGAGAGCGATGACTCCGGTGATCATGCCGGTCTTGAAAGCAGTCGACATGTAAGGAGAGGTGAAGACGAGATCGGAGAGGGACGGTGGGTTGAGTCCCTTCTTCAAGTTCCCTATCTGCTCAAATTAATTAAACACACGACTTAATCAATTACTCCTTTTAAGCTCGTTTATGTTATAATAATCAATGGATATATGTGTATGTATAGATACCACTTGGACACCGTGTCTCTCGGCATGGGTGAGGTAAACCAAGAGGCTTCCGAGAATCACAGAGGTCAAAGGCGCCATTGCTGCCACCCAGAAGAACTTTGGTCTCTTCTTGCTCTGTTCCCATCCCATTTATTTATTAATTAAAACAAAAAAACAAAACGTGCCACGTCATCATTTTCTATTTGGTCCGGGCAAAACCTCCGAACCTCGGTTTCATTCATGTGGCCTCCATTGAGAAGGTAGGACAAATGACCACGACGATTCTCTTCAGATTCCCATAGACATTAATTGCATTTAGCATTATTTTAATCAGATGAATGATTAATGATGGGGACTTTTAGGTGAGGGAACGTGGAATGTCGCCGTCGTACTAATACAACAAATAAATTAATAAAATGTAATAAGAAAAGACGTACGAAATACTTGGTGATGAGAAGGAAGAAGAGGAAACAACAGCCCAGCAAGCCACTCTCCCATCTCCACTGCACGCACAAAAGCATTCCATCATCAATTAATTAATTAATGTGTATGTATATATATGGATATGAATAATTAATGATAATGTTAATAATAAAGGGCAATAACCTGGTGAGTTAAATTCGTCATTAATGGAATTTACCCTTTAACAAAAAAAAAAGAATAACCTGGCGAGTCTGGGAGAAGACGGAGCGCATGACGGAGACAACGTCGGTAGCGTCGGTGAAGTGACGGAGACCAAAGATGCCCTTGAGCTGCTGCAGACTCACCACGGTGGCAGCCCCGCCCATGAATCCCACTATCGTTGCGTGCGACAGCATATCCACTATGAACCCTAACCTGCGTTTGTTACTCTCCTACTCTCGTCATTAATTCCCACCAACTCCATTCAATGATACTACCTTCATTCACGCATCATATTCTGACAAAGCGACAGAACAATATAATGCTGCATGGAACCGACCGAGCTATAAATTCCATGCGCGCGTAAACAACTTATGTTGCTGTTCCGGTTAAGGCACGTGGCAATGAGGCATCATCCCGTGGGCACGGTGCATGCACTGTGACTTAACTTATTCTTAGCTACAAAGTTTCGTGCGTTACACTGATCAACATGCATGCGACATTCTTTCTACCGTGTTTTCTGGACCCAAAATTAAGAAACTTTATTTTTTTTTCTTTTTGTAAAAAACGATCTCATGAAATATTATTAAATATATGTAAAAAAAAAAGAGAGAGAAGGTGAAATGACGAATTTTATGGAACCTGAAAAGGCCGAGGGCAGCTTCGAGAAGGCCGGCGAAGAAGGTGGCGGTGAAAGCGAGGTGGAGGTAAAGCTTAGGCTCTTTCTCCGCGTCGACTTCTTTCCCCAACATCGCCGCCGTAAGAAGCGAAGCCACCGCCACCGTCCCCACGGCCAAGTCCCGAGAGCTCCCCATCACAGCGTACACCAGCGGCGGTATGAAGCTCGAGTCTGTTTTATATTTGACGAGTGAATCACCATCGTTGTATTTGATAGACAAAGAGGGACAGAGAGATGGGCTGCTTACAGAGGCCGAGGATGGGGGGAAGGTTGGCCAATTTGGCGTAGCTGATGCCCTGAGGGATGGCGAGGCTGGCGATGGTTACACCGGCGATGAGATCGGATTTCAAGAGCGTGAGATTGTAGAGGGGGGCCCACTCGAGGATGGGGAAGAAGTATTTGAGAGCCAGGACCAGCTTCCTGGTGGGGCTCTGGTCCTTGAACTGTCGGAAGGGGTCGTCCGGGAAAAGGGTCTCCTTCATCGAGTACTCCAGCGACCTTATGAACGGCTGCGGCGGCGGAGCCTCCACCCTGTGCCGGCGCTGCTCCTGCTCGGATCCCATCTCCCTCGTCAGATTGCTTCTGTACTAGTTTCCTATATGCGGATGTGTGAGAGTGTGACCTCGAGGCCCTCCCTCTTTTATAGACGCTCTCTTCTACAGCACCGGACGCCTTTCTGCTCTTCTCTTCATCATTGCAATACGAGTTTTTTTTTTAAAATTAAAAAACGCCTTTTACATGGTTGGTTTCTGCGTAACTTTTTACTGTCTATAAATTTGGACAAACTATTTAGCACGAACACTGTGAATGAATTATTCAGGCAATAAAAAAATTAACAAATAAAACCGTACACTCTTAATTTGATTTAATTAATACTCCTGATATTAAATATTTTAAATTGATATTCTCTCCATTTGTAAATAATTATTGTTTTAAAATTTTCACACTTATAAAAACTATAAAAAAGTTATATATACTTATTAATTATCTTCTCATTGATATTCTATTAAAGTTGAGTGATTAAAATTAAGGGTAAAATTGTAAATTTGTTTAAAAAATCATCTTAAAAATTAAATAATAAAATATATTATTTAAAACGTCATCTATTCAAAAATTAAGAAAGTATTTCAAATGTTAAAATGTTCAAAAATGATACTCTAACTTACAAAATCGATGTCAATTTCCAACATCAATAATATTGATTAGAGGACAATTTTCGATTTGAATTGAATTTATTAATTGTTCTCGATTAATTTGGAATATTTTAAGTTATTAAATAGATAAAAAAAAATTAAGCATTTATTAGTGTTGTTTGAATATTCTTGGCTTCGAGTCAGGCATATAAACACGAGCAGCTGGCTTGTATCGATGTGTGGTTATCACTAGAATATGTGAAACGTGAAGTCTGTGTATTTTATCTGCTTATTTGTTTTCCGATGCAGCAAAAAATAAAATAAAATAAAATTAGTATATGAATGATGTAGATTAAATTTGCCTAATTGTATAATAATCGCACATAAAAATTAGAGAACAAGTGGATAAAGGCGAGAGGAAGAGGGGCCTGTGCGTCTGCGGCGTGGACTACATGTCATGTCTCGATGGAGAGGAAGCGAAAGCCATGAAGCTTACGTTTCATATCATCCCTCTCTCTAGATTTCCGGTTCTACCCCTTGATGCTGATGTCATCACCACGTGGCATCTCCATTATTGAGTTGCTTTATTAAGAATCTTAGTACTGACACGTGTCAATCAGCTGAGACGGTTGGTTCCTGGTAAGACGGGGTTACCTTTTTTGGCACCCTGTCTTCTTACATCATCAGCCATCGCGAATTTTCTTTTTCTTTTTCTTAATAAAAAATTAAAATGCAATATTTATCTTCTTAAAAAAAAAAAAATTAGTTCAGAATTGTTGCGTTGGGATATTTTCCTTGAGCTTCGGGCTTGCCTAACGTTAGGACCGACGTTTTGGCAAACTGCTTGGTCGGCATTTAGGAATTTTTTTACTATACTTTTGTCATTATCGCCGCATTAGTTTGGGTCATACACGTATGCTAGCTTTTCTGATTGCGAAAAGAATATTTAATTAGGGCGTTTTTTTGCTAAAACTTAATTAATTAGGGTGTTTTCAATATGATCACGTGACAAATGCTTACAAGTTTTTTTTTTTAGGTAAAATTTAATCTAATGTAGGGTTCGAACTGACGTGAAATAATACTTTGTGCTTTCACCTTACTGTTTTGCCATCCACATTTGAGCCATTTTTTCTTTTGTTAAAATGCTTATAAGTTTCATTTACACCTAAAGGATATATATGTTTTGTAACTAATTAATATGGCATATATCAGATATCTTTTTATTTTTCGGAAGTCAACAGGATAGATTCCATTCTTTTCTAAAGTTAATAACTAAATTATATATTAAGGCAAACCATTCATTATCCTATATTATACATATTTTCCCGAAGTGACTGCATTGCAAAAGAATAAAAAAAAGTAACTAATGTTTTGTGTTTTGAATAAAGAAAGGTTTTAAGGACATTTAGGGTATGGCGACAAAGAACATCACTTTTACAGTATGTAATGTAATATACACGTGACTAGATAGGAGTAATCAAACAGTAACGGTCGTTGAGTCATTTTAACGGCCGGCTTTTGACGGTCAAAACCGCGGAGGTTGTCGTAAAACGGATGGTATCTCCTCGCCAAACATATTTGACACGTGTCGCGATCATATGCGAACTTGCCCCCTCTCACAAAAATTCTCATTATGATTTCGGAAAACGATGGATCACGATCGATGTTAGCCTTTTATCCTCCACTTGCATCGGTTTCTGTTTCCACAGAGAAAATTGAAACATAACGCAAATCGCTTCTCTTTATATGATAACCATTTATATATATATATATATATA